CTAGTAAAAACAGTATGAGCAAATGCTAATCTTTATTTCAATTTACGAGGACATGGGGCTAATAATAGACAATTTGCGAAAGTTATGCTATAAAAGTATTACGCTTTATGTGCCTGAATTTGTCAAATGATTAAGCCTCGTCTCCAGTAAAAATATTCTAAGTTTCTTTACCCTCACCACAATAAACACAGCACCGTTATTAATCTGCGCTTAAACGCTGTTACGAGCGTGCGAGCGTGGTCCTTCCCCGTGCGAGCCGACTCCTTATTACAATCTAATACGCACATATTAATTTTAACTTACTAGTTATTACTTATAACACCGTTAACGTGCAATAATGTACCGAAAAATAGTTAGCTAGTTTTAGCTGAATAATTTCGCATATTTAAAAAAATCCTTAAACGCCGTATAGATGGAGCACATTTAGTGTAACAGATGAGATAATTATTAAGAAATAATTTATGGAAAATTTAAATTATTTTCCTTAAATGGACACGGTTGCTGCTTTTTGATTATATTCAGGTGAATTACGATTGTAATCATCTGAATAATTTCGCATATTTAAAAAAATCCTTAAACGCCGTATAGATGGAGCATATTTAGTGTAACGGATGAGATAATTATTAAGAAATAATTTATGAAAAATTTTAATTAGTTTCGTTGAATGGACACGGTTGCTGCCATTTGATTATATTCATGTGAATTACGTTATTTATTATATTATATTATATTATCTACAAAACAATTCAACAAAACACGTCGTGTATTCGCTTTTTGTACATATACCACAAGTCCACAAACACGTTATTAAAATTAAGTGCATTTTTAAAATGTACGGTTTCATAACTATATTAAAAGTGTGTCTTGCAATTTTGCTATTTTCTGAAGCAAAATCTACAGATTTCAAGATAAAGATTCTGACAATTACGTAAGTATTGCAAACATTTTGTTACCAAAGTTTTTTTTAAATTTAAAATCTTATTATGTTTTTTTTTGGTTTTTAAAATAAAATTTAAGATAGCAAAGTTTGTACAAACCATGCATTAGGTAGTTACTTGAAAGGTTTGACGACAATTACCATGCTACAATCACATTGGGATATTTTTAATAGAATAGGGATGGAAAGCAAGCTTACAGTCCATCTGCTGGTACGTGGATGTGACCTAACAATATCTACATCTATCCTCGATTAATTGATGCGTTGTCACACCTGAAGACTAAAATGGAATGTGTCTTGTTTCCAAAAAATAGGGTATCTCGTTTCTCTACACTCGCCATACAATGTACAGCAATATTAAGCTGATATTCTGCGATATGGTGGTTCTTTCCAGGTTCATCCTACCTATTCGTGCTGCAACCATGAAATAGCTGCTGGCTCTACACGTATAAAATATTATTAAAGTGTGTTTGCTGCTGTCTCATTTTTAATCCTCGCATGTGCGCAGCCAGTAACCAAACGTTTATAGCTGTATATTTAATACACTTTTTACTTTTAATAAAAATATTTAATATCAAATTGTGTAGATTGTTGTACTTAGGGCAAACTAAAAGTATCTACTATCTATTACAAGTTGTAGTTCGTCATTCACAGCAAAGACGGAATTCATGCGAAAAGATTTTTGGGCGACGATTTTTTATGATTTTAATCTCCGTAGAATTGTGCTGCACGTCTTCAAAATTCTTTTGGGAGGAAAGCACGTTAATTGAGCACCGTAATGCGCTGGTACGCTGTATTTGATCGCGGCCATGCACGGAGAAAATACAAATCGACAGGCTTGTCTTTTAATAATAATTTACCTGCCAAATTAATTAAGGCGAAAATTGACTATATTTTATGCAGCATGATACGTGTGTTTAATAAAAGGTGTGGCTAATTTACTTAACTTGTGGCTATATTAGCTACACATTTGAAGGGCTCTGATTTTTTTAAAACTTCCGCTTCTGTCAACTGTCAGAAGATATATTATTATCATATCAGGCAATATTTTTTAACACTTGTGGGAAGATTATCTGCATATACTTAACTTTTTTACTTTTTCTTTGAAGAAAACACAAATCTTCCTAATATATTCCCTTAGTTCAATCTAGGATAATAAAACTGAGATATGCTGTCATTATAATATATAATGATTATACTTGATTTCCACACTTAGCTCATCTATTCGTGTTCGTGCAGAAACCGTGCAATTCAACCAAGAAACATAATTGTCACCATCATTTACAAGATTTGTAGAGTAAGATGTAAGGTTCGTAACAAACACAACTCTAAATCATAAGGGCCCTGTAAAAAACACAGCCTTGTAAAATATACAAGAGGTCGATGTATGTAGGTTGCTCAGGTCCGTGCCTTACGGCGTTTTTGGAGGAGACCTATGTAGCAATGGAATTGTGAAGGGTTATAACTTGACGATGACGATGAATATTGGCGTGTTACAATATAAGTATGATCGTTAAAGGTTACATTACTAACTACCTTTTTACCCGTGGCTTCGCTCGCGTGGGCTTGAATTTAGAGACATAGATAATACTATTTCGTTCTAAAATAAGCAAAATTGGATCATTCGTAGAGACACGTCAGTATCTGTGTCTATGTTGGCAATATTATAGGCTACAAAAACACATATGTTAGTTTATCAGAACTGCATAAATAACATACGTCAAGCAACACCTTTTTTATATCGGTCACGTCTTCCGATGTGTCTTTATGAAAGGAAAATTGTCCTGGAATGGGAAATATGTTATTTACATAATATTCATTACGTATTAAAGTTGATATAGTTTTTTATAAAATAAGGTTTAATTTAATGGTCTTCATTAATATTGGTCCCATTCAACATTGAATAGCACGACATGCCAGTATTTTTTTAGAGTAGAATTCAAAGTTTCACGAATGTAGTTCTATTCACGGTGAACGTGTAAGAAGAAGTAAATTAATGAAGAGGAGTAGAAATTTACATAAGATAGGCACTACCACGGAAGAACGGAAAAAATAGGCAGGCTGTGAAAGGCGTGCTTGGTTATATTATAAATAATTTTACAAGTACGTGTATGCGTTTGTACCTGCCAAATTCGTTATAACGAAAATTGACTACCATTTATGCAACACGTACGTACTTGTGGCTATACTATCTATACATTTGAGTGGCTCTGATTTTTTTTAAACCTCCGCTTCGGTCGAAACTGTCAACTGTCAGAAGATATATTGTCATAATAGACAATTATTTGTGTCAAACACTTGTGGGAAGACTTCCTGTAAATACTTACTTATTTTTACTTTCTCTTTGATGGAGATACAAAATATACCTAATATATTCCTTTAGACCAATTTTAGGATAAGAATAAAACTGAGTTATGCCGTTATTATAATATATAATGACTAATTAGATTATTATATTTAATTTACACACTTACCTCATCAATTCGTGTTAGTGCAAAATATGTGCAATTGAACCAACCAACGTAATTGTTACCTTACTTTATAAGTTTTGTAGAGTAGGATGTAAGGTTCGTTACTCTTGGATCAAAACAGACTTCGAAACTACTGCACACATCATAAGGGCCCTGTAAAAAACAAGACCTGGTAAAATATACAAGAAGTCGATGGATGCAGATGGCTTAGGTCCGTGCATTGTGCCGTTCTTTGGAGAAGGCCTTTGTTCAGCAGCGATATTGTGATGGGCTGTAACGATAACGATGATGATATGCCTGTTATTACAATTTAAGAACGATCAGTAAAGATTATATAACTAATGTTACGAGCTAGGGGTTCGTTACAATAAAAACTGCCGACTGAAAACTTGAATTACCAAAAATTGACACTTTAATTACCGAACACCAATTAAAACTTAAAACACACTTAACACATAATAAAACACAATTGTACTACAGATTACTTTAGTTCGCAGTTATATCGCTTCGAAGTATTCGCTTGTATTACCAATTCAATACTGTCCCGGGTCGAGGTCGACACCGGCCTTATATAGGGCCTCTTCTAGTGAAACATCTAGAATGTTCGAGTACATACCTGTTCCGAATGACTAGGTGTGTATTTGCTCCGTGTGGCCATGTTTATTCCCACGATAAAATTCGTGGAGATTGACTTCGAACCATGCAATTTATTTATTTTCGGTAAAAACAAAAATTTTATGAAAGGTTTTATATCTACGGAGTCAGAAGAGGCCGTGATAGTTTTCAACTGGCACGTGAAAAATATCAATACAGACGAGAGAGATGTTTTCAAAATGGGTTAGAATGAATAAAAAGGTATTCAAATATAATGATTTGAAAGGCAGTATATACATAATTTATATTTAGATTGATTAAATTTATCAGTTACGCAAAACTTATAGTGTATCCCACGTAAAATAAAGCTGTGAAAATGAATTCCGTGTTGGAAACTTTTACCTTTGAAGATACAAACAGAAATATTAAAAATTAAAAGAATTAAAAGTTGTTGAATTAAGGAAGTTACTGAAAAACAGTAGCATTAATCTGCTTTTATATGCTGGTACGAGCGTGCGAGCGTGGGGCGAGATGACTCCTAATTACAAACTTACATGCATATAACTACTTGCGTATTAATTTTAACTTACTACTTGTTACATAAGGTACCGATAATAATAGTAATAATTTAACGAAAATTAGTTATTTTTACCGCTAAACAATTAAGCATATTTAAAAAATCCATTTTACGCTTTTATTATGGATGTATAGATGGAGAACATTATTTAGTGTAACAGATGAGAAAAATATTAAGGTATAATTTTAGAAAATTTGAATTATTCACGTTAAATGGACACGGTTGCTACTATCTGATTATATTTATCTGAATTACGATTGTTATCATTTTAAGTGATCATACCAGAATCTATATAACAATTACATAGTGGTTACCGCAGCAAAACGCTTGTTGCACATATACGAGTACCACAAGCCTACAAACACTTTATTAAAATTCAGAGCATTTTTTAAAAATGTACAGTTCTAAAATTATATTAAAAATGTGTCTTGCAACTTTGCTATTTTTTGAGGCAAAATCTACAGATTTGAAGTTAAGCAATGACTTTTACAATTATGTAAGTATTACAAAAATGTTGTTGCTTCAATAGTGGTATTTTTTTATTTAAAATGAAATAAAGTATTCTGGTCTTTAAAAGCAACATTTAAATAGTAATGTTTGTAGAAACCATGCATTAGGTACTTATTTGAAAACTTTGGTGACAATCACTATCCTACAATCATATTGGGGTATTTTTAATAGAATAGAGATGGAAAGCGAGCATGCAGTCCATCTGCTGGTACGTGTATGATTAATTGATGTGTTGTCACCCCTGAAGACATTAATGGAATGCCTTAATGATTTCTTATATTTACGCGAACACTACATCTTTAAATAATACTCATTTTTTACGGATTTTATCGCGTGTGTTTAACTCTTTAAATACCCGAGGTTACGAGCACTTTACAACACCCATGATCACGGGGGAGACTGAGATGTTTAACGTCTAGATGTAATCTATAGTAACCACGGTTAACTATGACAGTGTTATTAAAATCGAATGCCTTATTTGCAGAAAATAGGGTATCCGTTTCTCTACACTCGCCATACAAAGCACAGTAATATTAAGCTGTTATTTTATTTCTTACCCTGCCCCTGTTCAGCCTACCTATTCTTGATGCAATCATAAAATAGCTGCAGCATGGCTTTGCCACCTATACAATTTAATTAAATTGTGTTTGCATAAAATGAAAGTTGTAAATATTCAGACCGGCGAAGGGGTGCAATTTTAAAACTGCTAAAATTTTCTCTTTTCTAAAATCCACCAAAGCAAGCATGGCGATTACAATTATGGGAGAATTACATGTCCATTAGTAAACTGTTTAACACTCCTTTATATGCGCCCTATATAGTTACACGATTCCACGTGCGGGGCACAATTGTGATACAAAATATTATGAGTTTTTTTATTACAAAGGTATACAAATAAAATATCTAAGTTTTTTATATATAATAAGTCTTTATTGACTTATCAAAATACAACAAAAAACAGTCGCTTCTCAACTTAAACAAAAAATAAAGGTATTTGTCTTAATAACGAAAAAACTAAAGAAAAAAGACACTTGTGCGTAAATTAAAGGTTTTCTTCACCATTCGACTACTCATTGGTCTCTGTCACATATTTATTGTAACAACAAAGGCATATATTCATGGTAGTTGCACACAGGCTTTTGACATTTCCGACAAGATGTTCTGGTCGATCGATCTTTGGCTCTTCCGCAGTCGTAACATCTGGCCGTTTTGGTTACCTTTTTTATACATCTTCGTCTTGAGACATAGAATCACTATATTTTATATATATAAACATCATTTTCTTTCCCTTGATATTACGAGGTAAGTTTTTAGTCATAAGTATCTGTCGAATTTTTGGCTTTATAAGTTCAAAGCCACCGAACGTAAGTAGTCGTGTCGAGATATGCGCTGATAATTGTGATTAACCATTGTGTCAATTATCATGCCATTGATGCCTGCTATTCACTATGTCAAAAAATTGTAGGTGGCCAACGTCTACTATTTCGTGCTACACTAAAACGCTTGCACATTTTATGTAAAACGTCAACACCGCATTTCGTTCTGTTATACTCAGTAATGATCACAGGCTTTCTTGCCTCTCCGGTAGAAGGATCAATCGCACCATCAGTGTACATGGTTGATGCTACCAAAACTACTTTTTTGGGCTTTGGTACGTATGACACTAAAGTGCGTTTCTTTTGGAAACCAAATAAGGAGTCATTGATGGGTCTACCTTTGGATGATTTGAAACTGGGTGGAATGTCAGGTTTGTTAGATTTCAGTGTCCCAATAGCAGTTATCTTCTTCTTTTCTAATTTCATTAACAATGGTATACTGTTATACCAGTTGTCCAAGGTCACATTGCTGCCCATATCCTCAAGAGGCTTTAGCATTCTGAGAACAATATACGGACGGGGGTCCGCACTCCCTCCCTTGGACTGCGGTTAGATAGCTCAAAGAAAAACGCCTAAAAGGCGACATGATGATTGGTAACAATATCAAATCATAAACCATCTCATCATCATCCTCACCTCGTTGTCTTTCCCTTTTTAGTTAGCCCTGAGACAAGACGAAGCTGTAAGAGTCGCATAGACTAACGGATCATCTAGATAATAGTACATCTAGATAATAGCAGTATCTGTCACCTTGTTCGATACTTGAAAAGGTCCCGGAGGTTGAGCGCGGGCATAAATCTCCAAGTTATATGCATAAGGAAACGTAACATCTATAAAGGCAAAAAGTTTAAGACCATAATTGTCTGGTTTGTTAAGAAAAAACATTCAAAAAACACATCGTCCTCTAAAGGCCACAAGCTGTTCATCTAGAGTAAGATACTCACTCGGTGTATGATACTTTTGTAGGTTCGATACAAAAATTTAAAAAAAAATCTGGTAGCAGCAAATTTATCACTTTCTTTTCTGGTATCTCGTGTATGGTTGTAATCAAAGCTTACGCACTTTAGTAATAAGGCAAATTGATTTTGAGACACTGTGAGATAAATAGCCTCCACTGCAGTTCCAAACCCATAGTCCCAAAAACCATTGAGTATTTTTCGACCACTTTTTTCTACACCCATCATAACTAACATCCCAATCATTGCCCTGATTTCAGTAGAATCAGTATTCTTGACATCTTTGTCGTTAATATTTTTTTTTATCTTGTCGGTGTATATATTTGTACAACTTGTAATAATGTCTCATTAAAATATAATTCAAAGCATGAGAGCGGGATTTTTAGAGCTGAAACACCATTTTTAGGGTCACAAATGCGACTACGAATGGATCTGGATCTGGATCTGTATGGATTTGTTACTCCTTAAATTTGCTAAAGGAACGTCCTCATCAGAGCTCGACTCTGATAACGGCGACAATGCAGGCGTGCAACCTGAGGTAACTTATTCATCTACGTCACTTTTTTGCTTCGACTCAGAATCGTGTGTTTCTTCTAAAAACAATCTACTTCATCTTCAATACTCGTTAGATCTACCAAATTATCGTCATCTTCTTCGTCAGTCTCTTCTAACCTTTTAACTATGCGTTGTGACTGTTCATCCATTTTGATAAACTGATAACAAGTCCTTAAAATTAAAATACCTAAAACAAGATCAATATGCAAATAAGTTACGAATACTGTACCACCATTAAAAGAAACAATAACCGGAATTTACACATATTATTTAACTAAATACGTAAAAATCTTCTCTTTAATCTGCCACCACTAGGTACGTAATTACACGCGTTGGGCATAAGCGTGCCCCAGGGACGCGAAAATACTTACACAGGAGCGCCAGTGCGGTCAAAGCGAGAGTGAAGGTCACGCGAAGATATTTGCGACAGCTACTTCAAAAATCAAAATCCTGGCGGTTAATTTTTGTGATTTAAGGGTAAATAAATATATGCAACTGGGGCACGTCCGTGCCCCGCTCGTGTAACGGAGTATTAAGTACTCATAATAAGGAAAAAAATAAGACATAGGATATTTTAAATACTACTCATAAACTATGTAGTAGTTTGTTTTTTTTTTTTTTGCGCCCGAAGCAATTAAAGGGCTATCCTATACGTAGGGAGGCGGAAAATGCATTACGCATACCACGATAGCCGGTCTATCGTGGTTATGAGGGGCTCACTGTCCTACCGGGGACCCTAAGTGATACCCTCTAAAAACCGCCTTTGGGGACAGGCAACCGGCTGATTAAGCTCTATTGTGCCTTATCATGAGCGACCCTCTTTTGGGAAAAGAGGGCGCAGGCGGCTAAGTGCCGCTGAGGGAGTGCCTACGAAGGCAAGTTAATGTTAGATATTACAATAATTTTATTTAATTAGAGTTGGCCTGAGCTGCCAGGAGACAGTTCAGGTCGTTTGAAAGTTTATTAGGCGGGTCCGAGAGAGAGTTTCTCGGCCTGCGGACACGATAGCGAGAGGGGGGTGGGGCTGCATAAGAAGCTGCCTCACGAATTAAGTGGTTTGGATGCGACTCTGAGGCTTTGAAGAAGTTCTCAGAGAGTTTTTTAAGAAATTGTTGAATTGTTGGGAGCTCTAAGTCCCGATGAAGGTCGGCATTGCGGACGTACCACGGTGCGTTCGCAGCTCGACGACAGAAGAGGTTCTGAACTATTTGGAGTTCATTTAAAATGTTAGGGTTTGCGTGGGCAAAGACGGGGCCCGCGTAGGACATGACTGGTCGTATACATACCTTGTAGAGTGTACGCTTGTTTCGAAGGGACATTTCACTGTGTCGGCCCAACATACTGTTGAGCCTACTCAGATAAAATCGTGCGTGACGGGTTACTCTTTTGACGTGGGGCTTGAAAGTGAGCCCTGTGTCTAGAGTGACACCTAAATATTTGGCGGACGTATGCCAGGGGACAGGGGTCCCTAGCATACGTATTGGTGGAGTGTTTTTGAGACGGCGTCGTTTATAATCGAAGTGGACGGCGGAGCTCTTCTCCGGGTTCACATCGATGCGCCATTTTTTGAACCAAGCTCCTAGGTCATCAACTGACTTTTGGATCTTGTTCCGTATAAGGGGTAGTGTGACACCTTTGCAGTAGATGGCAGTGTCATCTGCAAAGAGGGAGAGTTGAACACCTTTCGACGGGATGGGAATGTCGTTGGTGAATAGGATGTACAGCAGAGGAGCAAGTACTGAGCCCTGAGGGACACCAGCCTTGATAGTTCGCTGTGAAGAGAGCGTGCCTTCGTGTCTGAAACGAAAGGTACGATGTTTTAAATAGGAGGCCACGAGACGAACTAGACGACCGGGGAGACTAGATAAGGCCTGTGTGCCAGACTCTATCGAAAGCTTTGGCTATATCGAAAAAGACCGCGATGGTCTTATGACGACGAGGATAGAAACCGCTGAGGATATATTCCACAATGCGGTGAACTTGTTGGGGACATGAGTGTTTGGCTCGGAAGCCGAATTGATGGGGAATGATAAGAGGGTCGCCGTCTGTGGGAAACAGGTAGCGCCTCATACGACTTTGGATGACTCTTTCGAAGAGCTTGCCCATTGCCTTGAGGAGGCTAATGGGGCGATGGCTGGAGGGGGGGCGATGGCTGGAGGGGGGAGTAGTTTGTTCTGCGTGCCATAATTAATGCCTGACATGGAGACATTAGTTACCACTAGCGCCCTCTAGTATCGAGTAGCAAAACTAGGAACGTCAAGATACTTCTAGAGATTTTCATGCCGGAAATTTCTACACCTAATCACTGGTATGTACTCGAACATTCTAGATGTTTCAGTAGAAGAGGCCCTATATAAGGCCGGTGTCGACCGCGACCCGGGTCATTATTGAATTAGCGAGTACTTCGAAGCGATATAACTGCAAACTAAAGTAATCTGTAGTAGAATTGTGTTTTATTACTAGTGTGTTTTAAGTTGTATTTGGTGTTAGGTAATTAAATTGTCAATTATGGTAATTCAATCGACAGTTTTAATTGTAATGAACCCCAAGCTCGTAACATTAGTAACATAATCTTTAACGATCGAACTTAAAACGTAATAACAGGCCTATCACCATCGTCATCGTAACAGCCCACCACAATTCCACTGCTGAACAAAGGCCTCCTCCAAAGAACTGCACTAGGCACGGACCTGAGCCAACTGCATCCATCGACTTCTTGTATATTTTACCAGATCATGTCTCTTACAGGGCCCTTATGATTTAGTGTGCAGTAAATACGAAGTCTGTATTGATTCAAGAGTATCGAACCTTACATCCTCCTCTACAAAACTTATAAAGGAAGGTAACAATTACTTTGCTTGGTTGAATTCCACATTTTTTGCACAAACACGAGTTGATGAGGTAAGTGTGTAAATCAAATGTAATCATTATACATTATAATGACGGCATAACTCAGTTTTATTCTTGTCCTAAGATTGGACCTAGAAAATATATCAGGTATATCTTGTGTCTTCTTCAAAGAGATAGTAATAATAAGTAAGTATATACAGGAAGTCTTCCCACAAGTGTTTAATACAAAGAATTGTCTGCTAAGATAATATATCTTCTGACAGTTGACCGTTTCTACCGAGACCGAAGTTTAAAAAAAAATTAGAGCCTCTCAAATGTGTAGATAATATAGCCCCAAGTACGTACGTATTACATAAAAGGTAGTGAATTTTCGTTATAACGAATTTGGCATGTACAAACGCATACACGTACTTGTAAAATTAAATATATAAAAGTAATATAACCAAGCCCGTCTTTCACAGCCTGCCTTTTTTCTCGCCGTAGTAGCAACAATTACATGATATAGTTAATTTTGTTGTCACAGATAAAAGTAAAAGTTTACACTACAAAGGATAACCGCACTAGTTTGTTATGGGGCTAGAAACTGAATAATCCGTGTAAACATTACGCTATCGCCGATATTATTGAAAAATTTTATGACGCTGAAAATTGTGTTGTAAAACAGGTATGCATATATTTATCGTTATTTAAGCAAGTAAGTATTTTTGCAATATTTTAAAAAAGGAGGTAAAATAAAAGTATTTTAGCGATTTCTAATTTCCTCTTTTCTTAAGTACTGATTTTATTTTTAATTTACCTCGTATACACGTGGGTCGTACGCAAGTTGTGTTTCGTGTACTTTATTAGGCTCATATATTATACTGTCCTACCACACTCAGAAAAAAAGCAACAGAAAATGTCCCCTTACACTATTTGACAAATATTTATACAAGTCACCAAAAAGAAAGACAACTAACGAAATTACAGGATACTCATCTCGTAATTTTTCATATGTATAGTCGACTAACTTACGATGCACTCTTACAAACATTATTTGCAAGCATTATTACTTAATCAAAGTAACTTAGCTGTGAGTGTCGTTTGATCAAAATTATACGTAGTGACGCCTCCTCTGTGTTTGTATGCTAAGTAGTCATGAATTGACGAACCAAATCACACGAGTTTTAACCTTCCGGGGGAAAAATTATATTTTTAATGGTATACCAAACTATATGAACTCCCACTGGCAACACTATACACCTCACGTCATTAGGAAGTTATATCCACATGAATTAGGAAAAAATAATTAAAATGCAAGTAAGCCCTAAGGGTAGGTAATAATATACAGCAGGGTAGGGACACAGAGGAGGCGTCAACTTCATATAGGGACACTTACAGGTAAGTTACTTTGCTCAAATAATTATATTCGTTAACGCCTCCTCTGTACTATGTAGATGTTTAAAGATTTGATTACTTCATTTTAATTATTTTATGTCATACATTATCATAATTACAATTTACAACAAAACAAATAATATTGAATAAAACTATATAATATATATATATATATATATATGGATTTTATCGCGTACAATTTACTTATTTCAACCTATTAATTACCAACGTTTCAGGTGCTTTACAGCACCCATGGTCACATGGTCACGAGGGCGACTGAGATGTTTGACGTCCCAATATCATAGTATGACCGGCTAACTTCAGATTTTGAATATTAATTTTTGGTCCGATCTACGCAGAACAAGCTTACAGTATCTTGAAGTCTTGCAGTGGTATTAGGTTTGGGTTTAATTTTGTTAATTATAGGATCCCCAGCAGATGGCATCCATCTTCTGTATTAAAACAAGGATGTTTTTTTTTATTTCAATAGCCTCGCGTATCATCCTTGGCAGGAGTTGGTGTTTTTTGCGAGGATTTGCGGTTTGTCAAATCTGAAGTAATGGTAGGTAGGTAAAAGAACGGTCTTGAATATGTTCACACAGTACAAACTTCCCGGAGCGTCGGTGCTTCACGTCAGCTATATGTCTTTCACGCTGGTTTTGATAGATCTTTTTGTTTGACCTATGTAAGATAGACCACATTAACCGCTCAAATGGCAAGCGTCCAAATTTGACCGTTTCGATATTCCGTCAAAATTCAAGAGGTCAAATGTGACCGCACCCACCCACAGACAGCACTTTAACCCATCAACACTTACGTTTAGAGACTACTTTTCTATGAAAAAGTTTAGCATTATAGAATCAATATGAAATTTTCTATCCTCTAGTAGAATAAAAAGTCAGTTAGTTTATGGTTATTTATTTATAATCTACGTTCATTTCGTACGCCATTTTCGTGTGAATGTTATAGTTTTGATTTTTGAATTTTTTTAGTGTTTTACTAGTGTTTTATAAGTTTTTGTGTGAATATAATTTATCTTTTTACGTAAATAATTTTGAGTAATATATAGAAATAATAGTGATTTTACGATGCCGACATCCGCTTGGTGTGTAGCCGTTTTTTGTTATCAAAATACAATAAAGACCTCTTGTAATGAAGTAAACCCCGACTTTTGTTTAGACTACAGGATATAAAATTTTGTATAGATTTTATAATGCCAAACTTCTTGATAGAAAAGTAGTCTCCAAATATAAGTTAAAAAGGACTGTAGGTAGATGCGGTCGCATGCGACCGCTCGGGATTTGACGAATGCATGCGATTGCATGGGATTTTATGCGGATTGAAAGGTTAATAATCTAGCTTGTACACTCCTGCAATTCTCTTAGGAATATCTATTATAATAAAGATAAGTGGGATATTAGTCAATAGTCGGGTATTTACAAACTTGCTTCTGACGAATGCCACGCCGCTTACCGCCGTGGGTCATACTGTTCGCAACTTTGGTACACGTTATACATAACATTTAGCTACGTACATAATTGGCAATCCTGATAAGTCCCATTATGCTAAACATCGAAATGACTGCGTACGTCAGGTGGTGTTGATTGCTTGCTTATTATTATCGCATAACGCGGTCGCTCGCTACTTCACCGCTGAGTGGTTTTGACTCGCCGCTCACTTAGCAGTCAGCCACCGTAGAGTCTACATCACCTGAGGTGCCTCGGCAGAAAGGCCCTCCAGGCCAAACCAGTCCCAGGTGGTGTTTAGTGGGTAGGCACTTAGGTTTTCACAGTGCGTATCACATGACCACGTAGCCGGCTACGTGGTATGCTAAGAGCATTCACCACCTCTCTCCTCCGCTACCAGGAGGTTAGCCCCTTACTTTGCTTCTGGGTGCAAAATAAAACGCACCGTTCACTTCAACTTCACGTTCAACACACAGTCAGCCACCGTAGAGTCTACATCACCTGAGGATGCCTCGTGTTGAGGCGAAACACGTGTTGTATTGTCGTCGATGGTGTGTCTTTCCTAGTGTAGTGGTGTTGGAAGTAGTGGTGCTGAGATAAGTAATGACGGGATTAGTGCACGCAATTGAGAGAGGGTGGGAGATGCTCTTCAAACTAGGTAAGACAAATCATTTTATTTTATTGGGCGGATATGTGCGATATTAATTCTTACCAACTTTAATGAACAAACATAAGCAAATAATTCGTCTCCTCTATTGTCCCGAAAGCGAGAAATATAAGTCATTTGTAAAAATAACCTAAAGTACCCGCCAGTGGTACCGCGAGTATAATAACCCTTGCGTACATTTTTGTAAAATTGACTGCCTCGTTGCTCTAGTGGTTGTAGTAGTGCGACTGTTGACCATGAGGTCCTAGGTTCGAATCCCGGTCGGGGCAAAAAATTAATTAATGAGTTTTTCCGTCAAGAAATTGTCAGTAGATGCCCGGAGTCACGAAGTTAGTGGTATCTCACACCCGTGCCTCGAAAAGCACGTAAAGCCGTTGGTCCTGCGCCTGATCTCTCTCCGGTCGTGTCAGTTGACCGTCCCATCGGATTATGAGAGTGAGGGAATAGAGAGTACACCTGTGCTTGCGCATACTCTTGGGCACTATAACCCTGTCCTGCGTCGATGGCTAGCCTCCGTTGAGGCATTCACAACGAAATTCGGTCTGGAGGACATTATTACATTTTTGTAGTAAAAAAAACATATGAATATTCATGTGAAACAGAATACAATGCGTCATGTACCCCTTCGTGACACCGTAAGGCAGATATGTAATGTATAGACTCTCGTTCTGTCTCAAACATAGATTTTATATTGATTTTTATTACAATGTAAACAATGATATTATATGTATTTTGGTAGTAAATATGAACCTATGATTATTCACATAAAATTATATTCAATGCCTTCTATACCTCCTCGTGACACCGCAAGGCAGATATGTAATGTACAAATTTCGTTCTGTCTCATAAATAGATATTATATTGAATTTTTATTACAACGTAAGCAAAGATATAATATACTTTGGTGATAAATATGAACGTATGGATATTTATATAAAATGAAATTCACGCCTCGTGTACCCCCTCATGGCACCGCTAGGCAGGTATGTAATGTACAGACTCTCGTTCTGTCTCATACACAAATTTCTTATTGCAATTTTATTATGCTGTTTGCAATGATATTTTCTATTTGTATTTAATATCATTGAATGTAAGTGATAAGACTTTTAACAAATAAATCAATTTAAAATCTATATAAATATTATTTGATTGAAAAAGTATGTACAGACACTCGTTCTGTTTCATTCATAGATTTCATATGTTGCGTTTTATAAATCTACTCTGCAGGTTATTTAAATACATAAGTAAAATACGCATTCAGTATATAAATACAATATATTTTCAAACTCAATCGACAGTCAATTAATTTTGACAATGTTAATAATGCTTTATCGAAGCTAGGCAAAAACAATTCACAATGAAATGTGTTGTATTATTATCGCATATCGTGTTGCCAGTGGGAGTTCATATAGATTGGGATACCATAAAAAATATTATTTTAACCCGGAAGGTTAAAACTCGTGTGATTCGGTCCGTCAATTCATGACTACATAGTATACAGACACATAGGAGGCGTCAATGAATATAATTAGAAACCTATAATTGATACACTATCTCATAAATGCCTTACATTACATCACAAAGTTGATCCTTCTACGGAACTCAAGCTCAGTGAATAAAATTCTGTCATTACTGTAACAATAAAAGTCTTTAAATACATTGACTATATTATGTATGTTTTGTTTCGCTCCTTAACTTGTGTTTTTTTTTAAGTATTAATTTTGTCATTTTCATATTTCTAGGGAAACTACCGAACGATGTTAAATTTTACGGAAGTCTCAAATTCGTATTTTGGATCCTCATTCTTTTACGGTGAATACAAGATGAAATCTACAGTATATTCGAAAAAAAGAAGCATTTTGTGCGTCTTTTTAAATGTAGTTTTTACTAAAAAGAAAGCTCTTTATGATCGAAACTAAGGCTTTGTGACGTTGTATTTTATTAAATTTATTGTAACAATGTCTCCAGTTGAATAATGATGTTGTCTTTTATTTTGCTGATAAATAAAACATTTGAGGTTTCATTAAAAATTGTAGTTTTTTTATTGCAATGTAAAAATAATCGATGATTTTTATGGAATTAGTAATTTAAAATATCCATCTAAAGAGTAAACATGTCCACATTCTTCTTACTTCATATCAACAGCCCATAGAAGTTTGTAAAATCACGTAAAAAAAAAAGAAGTGGGACTGCTAATGTTCCATTGTATAAAGGATATGCCTTAATCGGCACGTTTGGCAGGCGAATTGACTATCGCATTAAGCACATTTTATTGCTCTACTTCGCTCTGGGTGTTTTACGTCTGGCGTAAGGTTTTGCTGGCAATTCCCACAGACGCCTTTTACGACATCTACGGGACGATATGTTTTTGGATATTGGATCACACATTGCCATTACACCTTAATATTTACTTCATATTATAAATATGAAAGTGTGTTTGCATGTCTGTCATTATATGTTTAACCATAGAAACTGTTTTGGTATGCTTTAGATAATTACGACTTGTATTCTTATGAGGGATATAGGCTCCTTTGACGTTTTATATTTTTAATTGGTTATTTGCACTCTATTACGCTACTAATTGATGAAAAGGAACTTAATATACAAAATCTATACACATTAATAAAATTGAAGTGTCTGCTTGTAATGTCAAACTTACACATTTTTACTAAAAACTTTAAAAAAACATACGGTACTTCATGAAAACAAACAATTTTTTAACTTTTGTCTGTCTGTTTGTTCCGGCTAATCTCTGAAATGACAAGACCAACTTCGAAGGGGTATTCACTGTCAGATATCTCATGTTATGAGGAGCAACTTAGGCTACTTTAATTTTAGAAAAATAATTAGGGGTCGGTGCAATAAAGTTAAAACCCATGAAATACAATCGCAGTAAATTACACGCGCGCGTTAACGGTAAAACGTTACACAAGTGATGGCCTCTAAACGAGGCAGCATCGGTTGAAATAGACTTTAAGATTACTAATCGTAACGTGTAGCTCTTCACTATTTAGTGCTTTACTTCTGTCTGGAGAACTGTCCGAGTGTGTTACTATCCTCTAATCATGGAAGTATAAAGTAATTTATTAATTTAATTCTTCCTACCTTCTTTTACTGCAAGCAGTGCATCATTCGATGTACTCCGAATTTAAATTAGAATAGATTTTTTTTTTCAATATCGTTTACAAGTATAGTGTATTTTATTTGATAATAGATAAGCCTTGCATTTTTAGGAATTTATTGTGAAAGCGTATAAATTGCCCATACGTTTGGACAGTCGTCCTTCCTGTCATATTCCGATGTAATGATATTGACAAAGACTCATCCAGGTCCGAAAACCGACAATACGTTACTTTTGGACAGATGTCGAAAATTGAAACCCGCGTAAGTATTAGTTTGATAATGATTTCTTATATTTACGCGAACACTACACATTGAAATAATACTAATTTTTACGAAATTTATCGCGTATATTTAACTTTTTAAATACCCGACGTTTCGAACGCTTTACAGCACTCATGGTCACGGGCGGGACTGAGATGTTCAACGTCCATATGTCATAGTTAACCGCGGTTACCATAGATTAAAATTTTACTTTTGTTCCGATCTATGCAGTATGAACTTATGGTATCTTGAAGTCTTGCAGTTGTATGCTTGGGTTGGGATTTAATTTTATTTATTATAGGATCCCAAGCAGATGGTAGCACCCAGCCATCTTCTCTATTGAAATTAGGATGTTTTTTGATTTCAATAGCCTCGCGAATCATCCGTGGAAGGAATCGGTTTTCTTTAGCAAGGATTTGCGGTCTATCAAATCTGATGTAGTGAAATCTTGATCATCATGATGAGCTCTTGTATGTCCCCTGAGCGGTGAGAGTATTTTCGCTAAGTGTTGAGCCAATCTGTAAGTTGGTGAATCGATTTGGCTCACTATTGGACGTAATGGAGCATTGTGTATTTTTTGTAACCCATACAATTTTGGTGATTTGGCGCACGTAGGTATTATCCATTTTACGTCCAGATTTAATTTTTCGGAGTGTTTCTTTATGAGGTCACTAGTTGTTTTTAGTGTTCTATTTGTTGGGTCGTTTTTAACCTTTTTTATAAGTACTTACATCCGACAAAAGTTCTTGTATTTTAGAATTATAATCTGACGTATCCATGACTACCGTGGCGTTTCCCTTATCTGCGCGGAGAATCGTAAGTTCTGGTTTATTGCGTATGTTCTTTAACGCTATAAATTCGTCTTTGGGAAGATTCGGTTTAGGCACTGAACATCGACGTAACATAGACGAAATGTCTTGACGTATCGCCTCCAAATCTTCTTTCCGCATATTGCTTTTAAATAAACAGTCCTCGACACTACAGATAATATCTTCGTACGTTCGTACGACGTATAAACGTCGGGTATTTAAAAAGTTAAATATACGCGATAAATTCCGTAAAAACTAGTATTATTTCAATATTAGTTTGATGGTAGGGATATTGATCAGAAAGTAATAATGATCATCATCATCATCATCATCATCATCAGCCTGCGGCAGTCCACTGCTTGACATAGGCCTCTTCCAAGGCGCGCTACTTATCCCGATCTTCGGCTTCACGCATCTAGTTGCCGCCAGCCGCCTTGCGCAGATCATCGCTTCATCTAGTCTAGGGGCGTCCCACACTACGTTTACCTAAACGCGGTCTCCACTCTATGACACGCGTACTCCAACGATTATCGCTTCTGCGACAAATGTGACCAGCCTATTGCCACTTCAGCCTGCAAAAACGGAAGGCTACGTCGGTGACCTTGGTTCTCCGGCGGATTTCTTCGTTACGAATCTTACTACCAGAGAAACTCCGAGCATAGCTCTTTCCATCGGCCGCTGGGTGACTTTAAGTTTGTGGAGTAGTCGTACCGTTAGTGTCCACATTTCGGTACCTTATGTGAGTACTGGCAGGACGCACTGGTCGAAGAATTTCTTCTTCAAGCTATTCGGTATGGGTGATGAGAAGACCTGACGAAGCTTCCCGAACGCTGCCCAGCATAACTGAATCTGCTTATCGGCTTCTTTATCGAAGTTGTTTTTATCTATTTGCATCATCTGGCCGAGGTTATAACTACCTCCTGAACAACTTCAAGAATTTCACTATCAACGATAATCGGATCTGGTAGACATGACTATTAAACATGACTTTAGTCTTATTTAAATTCATACGACACGTTGGGAGGATTCATTTAGGATGCTCAGCATGTCTTGTCGTTCCTACAGCGATTCTGCCTAGACGAAGATACCATCGTCAAAGCATAAGTGTGAGATGTGTTCGTCATTTATGCCACATTTATGACATATTCGTCAATTGATGCTACATCCATTCCAGTTTAGCGTCTTAAAAAAAATTTTCCAGTGCATTTGTGAACACATATTCTGTCCTCCTGCCTCACTACACGATGCAACTGGATAGGTTTTGTAAGACTACCCTGTACTTGGACGGACATCAAACTTGTAGTGTTTAAATGTCTCAAGACATCTATATATCGCCATTAAATCAGGTAATGCTGCAAGAAATTTAAAACAGCTCAAGTTTCGATGGAGTCAAAGGCTTTTTTCATAGTCCACAAAGGCTAGACACAGAGCCTGATTATACTCATTCGTCTTCTGTATAATTTACCTTACTATGTGAATGTGATCTATGTTGCCATAGCCTCCTCAAAATCTAGCCTGTTCGGGTGCTTGAAATTCGTCATGTCTCCGCGAGAGTCGATTTATGATGACCCTTGCAAACAACTTATAGACGTCGTTCAGTGGCGAGATCAGCCAACAATTCTTTAACATTGTCTTGTCACCTTTCTTGTAAAACAAGTCTGTGATGCTTCTGCTCCACGCCACTGAAGTTCTCCCACCTCGTAAAACACAGTTAAAAATTCGACAGAGCTCTTTAAGCAACGGTTGTTCCCCCGCTTTCAAGCGCTTTGTTTTAATTCCGTCCTCTCTAGGGGCTTTTCCATTTTTAAGTTGCCCGAGGACCAACTCGATCTCCTCTAGACTGTAAAGTGGCGAGTAAGTGAGTCTCTAGAATGGACATCTTTGGAGTCAGGTTGCTGATTCTGGGATGTATAATATAGTGTACCGTAGTAGCCTTCAATCTCAGCAAGAATCTCAGGATTCGACGTGAGGGTTTTGCCATCACATGTCTTCAGTTTTGTAATGTGGGTCCTACCAAGCTTCCGAGCAAAGTCTTTAAGACCTTTGTTTCACTCTATTGTCCCTTGAATAAGAGTTGCATTAGAGTGCCACAGGTCCCGCCGTACAGCTTTTCTAACGAGGCTGATTGCCAACTATTGTGATGGCGTAGCTGTTGTTGCCTCACGTGGCTTTTGCATAAGCTGAAGTGTCTCGTCTGAGATCTTAGACTTTCGGCCTATATGTTGCCTACTGCACAACTTATTCCTCTCATCCCTTAAGGTCTTAACCACACTAGTGAGATCCTTGTCAATGTTTAATGTGGGTTTAGAGCATCAAATCGATTCCGAAGTTCCAGTTGGAAATGACGGGATCCAGCTACGGTTTGAAAGACATTCGGTCAGAGTGTAGACTTCATCAGACGGGCGCTTTCAATCTTGAAATCGATATTCAGAGTGCTTCGTACAAGTTGGTGATCGCTTCCGGTATTAAACCTATTGATCAGATCTCATATCACAGACATTTCTGAATATGTACCTTTTGTCCGTCATGATGAAGTCGATCTCATTTTTCTTTGGGGCTTTTTTGAATAAAAAGGAGCTCATTAGATGAAGCTTTTCCATTTCACAAAGTTGATCAGCATTTCCCCCTGTAGCTTCTGCATCCAAATCCATGCGGTCTCATAATCGATCCAACACCTGTATGTTTCCCAACTTTCGTGTTAAGGTGCCCATGACGATACTAAAGTG